GTATATATTTTGTGCATATACTGGAACAGGTATATTGATAGTATCTGACCTGACAGCATTGCGGTGTAGCAGTTCTTTTCTGGGACTGCAGCTCCAGTGCCTCTGTCATAAGCTAGATCAGCTCTTTCACCTCCAATCTCCTCACTCGAGTGTGATTGTTTGAAAAGGCCAGACCCGTCCAGATATCCTGGTAAATAAGCCTGCAGGGTGCTCTGACAGACTGGGTGAGGAAGCAGGGGATAGCCACATCTGCAATCGCACGTCCAGAGGCCGACATCCCAGTCTGTGAGGTAAATTAAACTCTGGCTGAGTCCCAGTTTGGCTTTGAGCTTTGGCTTTTCCCCGTGCTCGTGCCGGCGATGCGGCAGCACCTTCGATCTCCGGCGATGGCAGGCTGTGTTCCCTTCAGCCAGCCAGTCAGGCCTGAAAGGCCTGGCTTGTGGAGCTGCACACCCTCAGGCCACGAAATCTGCAGGCTTAGTGTGAAATGGGGTCCTGCTGCTGTGTGCCTTTGTGAGGCCAACCTCTCTCTCTGCGACAACTTTAAGGCTTCTCCTTCACGTTCTGTAGAAAAACTGGGTAGCAGAAGAGATGACAAACATCTGCAACTTCGAGGAGACGGCTCTGCCTTAAAGTCAGTGAAAAGTGCGTTTCTGATCATCGGCAAACTATGTGGCCAGATCTTGGCCAGTTTCCACTCCGGGTCCTGTTTTTCTTACAGCCTGTGCTGATCTTTATCAATCAGATTGACCTCCCCCCACCTCAGTGCAGGGAACTGCTCAACTGTTACTCAGCTGTGAGTAAGTGCATTTGTTTGCTGTTCCACACACTTGCGATAAATGAAGCTGGGCTGGGTAAAAGCTTATTGAAACCGTGTTTGAGTAAGAGTAGGTAGAGGGCAGATGTTGGCGTGTCGGGGGAGTTCTCATTGTTGAAGGAGTCTTCAAACTTTTGCTCGCCACTAATAAGGAAACCAGCAGTGCTTGCAACTGCATAAAACTCTCAAAGACAAATTATTAAAGCAGAGCATGCCATAGCTAAGGCTGTTGGTTTGCCTCTTCCACGATCATTTGAAAAAGCTTGTTTTTACCAGCTCCCTAAGGCTTCTCTGCAGAGGTTTGCCGATTTGAGGGGTAGGAAAAATGAGGTTAAAGAAATATTAACAAGTCACTTGGTTTGACTATGTCTTTGTGTGTCCTAATCTCTTTAATACCTAACCTAGAGGAATGCTGCTAATGAGGGGGCAAAACTTAACAGAAGTTAGCACAAAGAGTGGTCAAGCGCTGGTTGCTAGGAGACTGCAGGCACAGGAATGCAGGGACCCTCCTCTGCAGAGAGAGAGTCGTATGTTCATTATATTTAATCTCCCAGTTGCCTGCTGGTAGAATTGTGGAAATTTGGGCGACAGAATTGTAGTGTGGAGAGCAGTCCCTGTGCTGTAGAAAAACACGGAAGTCTGGGCCTGTGCCAGTTCTGCTTTTACTTGGTTTCAGGTACATAAAAATGCCAGAGGAATTGCAGATGTCCATGTGTTCAAATTGAAAGGAGAAACACAGGTGGGCTGTTAAAGTGAGCCCTATCCAGACCAAAGGTTCCTCCTGTGTTTTAAACATTCCTTTTTATCATTTTAAATGTTGCATCCCAGAAGGGATGCTGGAAGTGAGCAAAGCCTGTTTCTAGGGTGCATTCCTTTTTACTCTTGTTCTGAGCCATGTCCAAGGGTGTGCCTTCACTGTGCACAACAGGAATTCACACGAAAGGAACGCAACTTGTTTAAACAGTTGTGTGCATGTTCTTAATTGGGACTTATTGTAATATAAAAACTTGTGTTTAATATCAAATATAATTTCTGAAGAGAACCACTGTTTCATTGTGATTGCTTTGGCTAATGTCCTGTAGGTAATGCTCCCATTAAGTGAGATTAGGATAGCAAATCAGGTTAGAGTTATAGAAACCTGGAGGCAATTTGTATTGAGGAAAAAGTAATGATTGAAAGATTCCTGAGCTTTAGTTTGTAGTATCAAACCTGTACCGTGAATGGTGGTGAAATTGGCACGGATTGATTAAAATTGTCCGGTTCTGGTTCAGGTCACAGATGGGAAATCGGCTGTGGTTTTGCAGGGAGTGGAGGCAGTAGAGCCGAGGAGGGAGGGCAGCTGCCGTGTTGACAGAGCGCAAGGCTGTGAGGGAGAGACTGGGTTTCTGGACTGCTCCCTGCCCCAGTCCTCGCCATGGGGGCACAGACTGGGGACGTCCAAGCTGACATTCACAGAAGTGATTTTAAGGCGGAAAGAGAAGTGAATGGCTCTGTGGCTAAGGATCTGTGGCTGGCAGGTCGCCGGTTCAAATCCCGCGGCCGGCAGAGGAATCCTACTCTGTTGGACCCCTGAGCAAGGCCCTTAACCCCAACTTCTCCAGGGGTGCCGTATAAATGGCTGACCCTGCGCTCTGACCCCAAACTTCTCTCCCTGTCTGTGTGTCTCATGGAAAAAAAGTTGGGGTATGAGAAAAGACAAATTCCTAATGCAAGAAATTGTATAGGGCTAAAAAAGTGATCTTATCTTATCTTGCATCTCCCTGCTGGATGTATCCTTCTGAGATCAGCTGAACGCCTTGATCGAGAGTCTTCAGCAGTTCTTACAGCAATTAGTAACGTAATCAGTTCAACTAAGCCAGGAATGTGGCTGTCTTGGACCGGGGTTGGCTACTCCTGTTTTTGATTCTTAAGTCTTACCAGAGGCACCAGAAAGAAATCTTGGTAGGTGAGGTTATCATTTTCCAACCTGGGATCCTAATACACAACATGCCAAGCTGACATCGATGTTTTAAGTGTCAAGAAAAGCCAGAGGTTAAAATAGAGTTCACATCGAGCTATCAAGCTATCACTTTGGTGCACTCCTTATTTGTTAATAGTTTTGTTTAAGCAAAGTGGCTTGTGGCCCTCCAAGGAGCTGAGCAGTGCACTCCCACTTGTGTGGTAGGAAACCACAGGCCATGCCTGAAGGCCCCAACTCCAACACTGTTTAAATTACTGCTGTAACTACATTAATGCACGTAATTAAATTGGACGGCACCTTTCGATCTTCCTTTATTGCAGTTCCACAATATCCTCAATTATCAACCTAATCTCCAAATAGCACCAACTGAGCGGTGGCACTGTGGCTCAGGATCTGCGCCTGTGGCTGGAAGGTTGCCAGTTCAACTCCCGCGGCCAGCAGAGGAATCCTACTCCGTTGGGTCCCTGAGCAAGGCCCTTAACCCCAACTGCTCCAGGGGCGCCGTATAATAAATGGCTGACCCTGCGCTCTGACCCCAGGCTCTCTCTCTATCTGTGTGTCTCATGGAGAGCAAGCTGGGGTACGCAAAAAGATAATTCCTAATGCAGGAAGTTGTATATGGCAATAAAGTGATCTTATCTACTAATTTAGTTGCTTCAGAGTGATCGGAAACTGCTCACCTTTGTATCACAAGGCGTTTTTTCTTTCCAGCACTTGCATATGCTGATATTGCCCTGCCCTGTTCGGTCCTGTCACTACTTTTCTGATGGATCATTTCTTTATCTGCTCTGTTGCAACCGAGGAGTGAGACTCTTGCCTAATTAAATAAGGGGTGAAGATGATTTTATTCACGTGGCTTGTTTAGGGTCCTGTGGTTATTATAGATCATAAGAGTCATCTTGTAAACGAGAAGCCACTACGTCAAGCGCATCCGCACTGTGATTTTTCTGTTGTGTGGAACAGAAGCTGGGGCTCAAGGCACAGTTGCTGTTGCCTCTGCAGTATGATTGTGCTCTACTCCTGGTTACATCGTACTTGTGGACCTAGCAATACATACGTTCTTGGTCCTGCTTGTGGGTCACTAACTTCGACCTCATTCAGAATAAAACCTTCTACAACACTTAAGCTGATACCATAAACATTCTGTCTTTCCAAGAATCGGTAGCAGTCTCTGGATTGTAGTAACTTGCTGTGTTAGCAGATGGGGACTAATACTTTCCTTTAGGACCCATTCTTGAGAGTGAAGTAGCTGAGTAATTAAGTTCGGAGCTCTGAATAGGGCCAGTTGTAGATGGCTCATTACGTTAACAAGAATTCAAGGGCTTCTCCACTCTGCTACCTTATTGTAGTACAATTGTTGTATTTTTTTCAGACCTATCCGCTCATGGGCTCTGTAAGCTTCTGCCAACAATAACACTTCAGTTGCAGACAGCTGGCTGGAGGTGTCAAGGTCTTTAGTTGGTTATCAGCTGTATGTTTGATAGCAGATTAATTATTATTAACTGTGAACTCTCGGAGCATGGGAAAATCAAAAGGCTCTCTTGTTTAAGCACATTTTTAAAAAGTGTAATACTGTATAAAGTTGCAATCTCCAGACAATGATCTACTGTTCCTGCAGTTCACGACTGAAGTGCTCAAGGACAGAAATGGCACATCTTAGACCGGTTCTGCCTAAACTACAGCCTTTTTAGCTTTGTACATCCTTGATCCAGGTTGAAAACATTTCTAGAGCTTTAATATTAGGAATCTCACTCATCATTGCCCCAAAAAAGGTTAGATCTGAATCATGGCTATATCCTTTGAACCGCTTCATCAGACAGGTTTGGTATGTTGTAGTGAAGTCTGAACAGTGGTGAAACAGAGCAACCAGGAAGGCAGGGCAGCACCTGACAGCTGTCCTACAGCCTGCCACATCTGTGGTGAAGAACCTCTGCTTTTCTGATGTGCAGGATAACTGCTCCTGCACGTAGATACGTCTTTCTTCTCTCTGTTTTTCACCATTCACAGTCACTTGATGATTATTCTTTGGGTTAGTTTTCCCCCTCAGCATGCGGTACTGAAAGCTGGTGGCACGTGTGTACCCTAACAGGGCTGGGGTCCCACAGAATTTCTGATCGTTAAGGGGAGTCGGAGATTTCCCGTTGTCTTTTTAAACGTTTTCGTAAGCGTAAAATGACACCTCCTGTTCTTTTTTTTTTTGTTTGTTTGTTTTTGTTTTTGCAGTATTGTTACTTGAAAAAATCGAAAATGGAGACATTGGCCAAAAGACGTTAAAGATCACGGACTTCGGGCTGGCGCGCGAGTGGTACCAGACGACCAAGATGAGCGCAGCGGGCACCTACTCCTGGATGGCCCCCGAGGTCATCAAGTCCTCGCTGTTTTCCAAGGGCAGCGATGTCTGGAGGTAACCGCTGAGCTGTCCTCGCGTGTGCAGCTGTAAAACCCGTTCTCTTGCTCTTTCCTGGCCTCTCTGTCGAAACCATATTGCATTCATCCACTCAGGAACGTGTGTGGGACAGACTCGCTCAGCGGCCAACACAATCCCAGCCCAGATCCTCATGGGAGTTTTACCATTTGTCCTAGAATCTGCGATGCACAGTGAAGGCGCTTCTTATTATCAACACGTTTGCAGTTAATTCTTTCAGTTATGAATGTCATTGGTGTGGTTGAATCTACAAACGACATAATTTTGTCCAAAAGTAGTTCTTTTTTTTTTTCTGACCTTCAATCGCATATTTTGGCTTTTTCCAAAGTGAACTTGTGGCTAAATTTCCTTGTTTTTCCTGGAATGCTCTTGGCAAAGTTCCTTTCCCAAGAGTGCACAACACCACCTCCATCTGTTTCCATCTGTCATTTGACCCTTGATCCTCCATTCTGGAGTCCGGAGAATTGACCACTTCCCCACATCTCATCTTCATTTATATTTATTTAGGACAGCCTGGGTTGTTGAGGAATAAAATCTCCAAAACATTACCAGTACATTAACATTGCCAGCAGCCATATCGCCCTGCAACTCACAACTGAAGCTCGGCGGGTGTGAGCCTGGTCAGTACCTGGATGGGAGACCTCCTGGGAAAAACTAAGGTTGTCACTGGAAGAGGTATTAGTGGGGCCAGCAGGGGGCGCTCACCCTACAGCCTATGTGGGTCCTAATGCCCTATAGTGAGGGGGACACTATACTGTAAAAAGGCACCATCCTTTGGATGAGAAGTAAAAGCGAGGTCCTGACTCTCTGTGGTCATTAAAAATCCCAGGGCGTTTCTCGAAAAGAGTAGGGGTATAACCCTGGCATCCTGGCCAAATTTTCCATTGGCCCTTACCAATCATGGCCTCCTAATAATCCCCATCTATGTATTGGCTTCATTACCCTGTTCTCCTCCCCACTGATAGCTGATGTGTGGTGAGCGTTCTGGCGCACTATGTCTGCCGTCGCATCATCCAGGTGGGGCTGCACACTGGTGGTGGAGGGGAGTCCCCATTACCTGTAAAGCGCTTTGAGTGGAGTGTCCAGAAAAGCGCTATATAAGTGTAAGCTATTATTATTATTATTATCATTATTATCATTATTATTATCGTCGTCATCATCATCATCATCTATGCTTGGTGCTTTGAATGGTGTTTTTTTGTGAAAGACTGTTGGTCATGCACGCTGGCACACTGTGTATATCTTTACTTAATGAAAGATAATTTTTGCTAAATACATGTTCTGTTCTGCAGAATTCGTCTGATAACAATAAATGTGGTTTCCTTTTATTGTGATGACTGTGTTATCTGCCAAAACTGCACAGCAATCCAGTCATCTGTTTAAGGGTCCTTGGTGAACTCGGAGCCAGCTGTAGCATCACAAACCATTCCCCAGGTCCAACTAGGCCTTTAGACCCACTAAACCCAAAATGGCTTTTGAAGAGCAGCCCTCAGCTTTGTCGGTGCAGCTCAGGTTTCCTGTATCAATCAGGAACAGGGCAAAAGATGCAACACGCATTGTGGTGAGCTCAGGTGCTTTGTGCAACTTTAAGACAGGAAGGAAAGCTGAAAAATCTGGAAACACAAGAAAGTGATGTGATGAGATTTTATGGCCTATTACACGTGTGTGTTTTTAAGGCGAAAGGAGGTTTCTGGCTGGTTTTGACTCTGAAAGCTCCTGGCTCAGGGCACTGTGCTTCTCTGGTCCCCAGCTATGGAGTGCTGCTCTGGGAGCTGCTGACCGGCGAGGTGCCCTATCGGGGGATCGATGGGCTTGCAGTGGCCTACGGTGTGGCGGTCAACAAACTGACCCTGCCCATCCCGTCCACCTGCCCCGAGCCCTTCGCCAAGCTCATGGAAGGTAGGTTTGACCTGGGAGACCTGGGGAGTCGGGAAGTTCTGAGTAGGGGTCTCCAGGACTGAGATCATGTGTCACATCTTTACACAAAGAGAGGTGGGGGTCGCACACTACCCACTGGATGGCATTGTGCTCTTGATGAGTTACTAGCAACCAAAGGAGCAGGATGGGCCTAAGCGCCTCTTTCTGGTCCCAAGATGAGCCTTAAACACAAGTCTGAAAACTGTATGGGAGCAAACCTAATCAAAAACACAGGCCTCCAGTATCGATCAGGTATGAACCAGTCCCAAACTGTCCCTCACTAGGTGCATGTCTACATGACCTTTCACCTTTTTTCTTGTGCAAACACCTGAATACCCATGTCACGCCACACGAATAGGCTTGAACTTTTTTCCACCTGGTGCTAGATGAGTCCTTTCTAGTTGAGACTAGACTAGCTGGACCCACTCTTCCTATTATGATTTTGCTTTGCTGTTTTAATACCACATCAACGTCAACATTTGTGGGAAATTATTTCACTCTTTATGGCAGAGAGCAGTCGAGCTGCCAAGCTGTTTTTTTGCCAAGCTAGAAATGAGGCCCTGATTGTGCGAGGGAGATGTTTTCAGCCACCTGGACCTGCCTCTTCCCCGCTGTGGGGCTGTGTTTGCCCACCTGCCGCCTCTCGTGGTTGTCAAGGGAGACGCGCGCGCCCAGGATGTTGCTGACGCTCCGCCCTGCTTCTGCTTTCCAGAGTGCTGGGAGCAGGACCCTCACATCCGGCCCTCGTTCCTGGCTATCCTGGAGCAGCTGACCGCCATCGAGGACGCCGTCATGGCAAAGATGCCCCAGGACTCCTTCCACTCCATGCAGGAGGACTGGAAGGTGGAAATCCAGGAGATGTTCGACGAGCTGCGGACCAAGGAGAAGGTCAGCCATACGGGGGGGGTTTGCACTGGGCCTTCCTGTGGCCAGTTTGTCCCAATGTTTGTTCGACTTAATGTCTGCACTTGAAACATTTAAAAAAAGATAATATTTTAGATGTCCTAGCCACCTGACGTTGGTGGCCACAAGGGTCTCGTACCTTTGGAAATGTCTTTTTCAATAGTTGATCTATTTTAAATTGGGCATGAAACACCTCTACTACCCTCCTGCAACCTTATGTTAAATGTGGCTTATTAGTCCTCCACAGGTGCTGTAATCCGCCATCTCGACTAGAGGGGTTCCGAACTGTCCGTAGAGTCGGATGCCTTATCATCAGATTTTTACGCACCACGAGTTTCAAAGGCGCTCCTGAAGATTTACTTCTATACTTAAGTTTTAATTGGCTGTGTTTTTAAGGCGCGCTAATCATCCCCCCAAAACAAACAAAGCAGGCTGTAAATTGTGAAATGGGTTTAAGCATTTCCACAACATAATACGATAATCTGCTTCTCTTCCCAGCGAGTCCCTCATTATTTTAAATTGGGATTTGGAATGGCTGTATCAGGAATGTGACGGCATTTTCAGGAAAGCACATTAATAAGATACTGTAACTAGGTGTTTGTTGGATTTCATCTGCACGGTCTTGAATCTGTGAGCGTGGGCTTCTGCCATTTCTGATTTTTTTTCTTCTTTTTGTGCAAAACCAGCTTTTTGGCAAGTCATGGCCGTGAGCATCGGTGTCACGCCCACCAAGAGCTCCGGGCTTCCCTGCTGGGTTTTAGTTGAGGTTGAAAGATCCTAATGGTCTCTCCTTATATCTGTCCTAATATTTTTTCCGCTTGGATTACTAGAAGGGATTAGTTAGCGTGGACTACCGGGAAGTGGACAGGGATCTTTAGTGTGAGATTTTGGTCTTGTTGATAAGCACGGGTTTGAAGGTTTCTGGCTCTTTCCCCTGACACTACATGAACAAGGGAGGTTTGCAGGGGAAGCTGAACAGCTCGTGAACTTCACTATCAATAAGGAAATCCTCTTTTTGCCTGAGTGGCTACTGTTTATGGAGCTCACAGAGTAAAAGCAGCTGGCGGGAGAGTTAATTAATAATTAATAACTGCTTACACTTACTTAGCGCTTTTCTGGAGACTCCACTCAGTGCTTTACAGGTAATGGGTCTCCCCTCCACCACCACCAATGTGCAGCCCCACCTGGAGGATGTGACGGCAGCCATAGTGCGCCAGAACGCTCCCCACACACCAGCTATAGTGGTGAGGAGAGCAGAGTGATGAAGCCAGTTCAGAGATGGGGATTATTAGGAGGCCATGATTGGTAAGGGTCAATGGGAAATTTGGCCAGGACGCCGGGGTTACACCCCAACTCTTTTCGAGAAACACCCTGGGATTTTTAATGACCACAGAGCGTCAGGACCTCAGTTTTACATCTCATCTGAAGGACAGCGCCTGTTTACCATATAGTGTCCCCATCACTATACTGGGGCATTAGGACCCACATGGACCACAGGGTGTGCGCCCCCTGCTGGCCCCACTAACACCTCTTCCAGCACCAACCTTAGTTTTTCCCAGGAGGTCTCTCCTCCAGGTACTGACCAGGCTCACGCCTGCTGAGCTGCAGTGGGCTGCCAGCTGTGAGTGTCGGATTGATATGGCTTATAATTAAAAAGGATTCTCCTAACTGTTTTGTAATGGGTCCTCTATTGCCCTCGTCACACACGTTGTAAGTTAATTGTTGGTTTAAAATAGGTTATTGTCTTGGGAGCTGTGAGATAAAAACACATGAGCAGCACATCTTTTCAATTTTTGTTTTTAATTTAACTTACTTCAGGGCACGGTTAATGTTTTCCTGAAGCTTTGACTGACTTGGCGTCTTATAACAGGGTGTAGTTGCTCGCTCTTGTTTTGGGTTTTGTCTTCTTTTGTGTAAACTAGCTTCTAAAAAAGAACTTTTCTCCACCTGTCGAGAGGAAGACTAAAAGGGCAGCAAGGTCTAAACCTTTTTTCACCTGTTCTTAATTTTTTGTCGTTAGTTTTTGCTTATCAAACTGTTTGCAGGGCAGATATGATCTGTACAGTATGTCCCTGGCTTGTGGAGTATGAGTAGCAGCTCGCCATTGTTTACACACACACACACACACACACAGAATAATGCTGTAGGGCTGTAAGACAGTGCTTCAGCTGTGCACAATAGGATTAACTGCTATTGTTCCTGGAGCCAGGAAGCAGAACTCGAGGTATAGACCTGCATGCATTGACTCGCTGAAACACTGTGTTGCTGCACAGATAACCTCAACCGTAGGCTCTCAAAGCTTGCAGGACAGGATTCTGGTAGGCTTCTTATTATGGCCTTGTTGTAGATAGTCATGAAAATATTAGGGCAGTCTAGAACGTCTCACCCTTTTGTGCATGGATAAGCACAGTGCCACAAAAAAAACATTTTAAGCAGTTTTGACCACAGCAAGTATTGATTTTCCATTTTCTCCTCCATCTTTCAAGGATAAGAAAAGCGTATTCTCAGGCTATTCCATAGCAAAGGCATCACTTAGAACTTCTCGCCCGAAGAGTTGAGAAGCCCTGTAGTGGTCGCTCCTGTGTGTAAGAATGTAAAGATTGAAAATGACGTAAAGACGTTGGATGTTGTGCTTGGCTGTTTGGTTGAGAAGTGCTTTCTTGATCCAGACATCATAGTCAGGTTCTTACTGGAGGATGACAGGGAACGGGCATCTTCCAGGCACCCAGACGTGCCACCTGCCCCGCAGTCCCAGAGTCACGTACCCCTGTCCCGCTGTCCCGCTGTCCCGCAGGAGCTGCGCTCGCGGGAGGAGGAGCTGACGCGCGCGGCGCTGCAGCAGAAGTCCCAGGAGGAGCTGCTGAGGCGGCGGGAGCAGCAGCTGGCCGAGCGGGAGATCAACGTGCTGGAGCGCGAGCTCAACATCCTCATCTTCCAGCTCAACAAGGACAAGCCCAACGTCAAGAAGAGGAAGGGCAAGTTCCGGCGCAGCCGGCTGAAGCTCAAGGACGGGAACCGCATCAGCCTGCCTTCAGGTGAGGGACAGGCGGAGGGGCAGGGGGAGGACAGGCAGGGGGGATGGGACAGTAGAGGACAGAAGGGCAAGAGGGGAAGGAAGGGGGGGGCAGGGGGGCGGTATGAAGGTGCCGGGAGAGGACGGGGGAGGGCATTGGGGACAAGAGGGACGGGGGAGGGTAGTGGGGACAGGAGAAGGACAGGAGGGATGGGGGCAGGACAAGAGGGGGAGGGTAGTGGGGGCAGGGGGAGGGCAGGAGGGACTGGAGGAGAGCAGGAGGAGGACAGTGGGGACAGGAGCAGGGAGAGGATCAGGGAGGGAAGTGGGGGCAGGGGGAGGACAGGACAGGAGCAGGGAGAGGACTGGGGAGGGAAATGGGGGCCAGGGGAGAACAGGAGGGTCTGGGTTCAGGGTCAGGGTCTACAGGGTCCCCAGTGACCACAGTGACATCCTGCACACAGCTTTGCTAGAGAGCGGCTTTAACTCTGTCTCTTCTGACTTGTCACAGATTTCCAGCACAAAATCACCGTCCAGGCCTCGCCGACGATGGACAAGAGAAGAAGCCTGAACGGCAGCAGCTCCAGCCCTCCCAGCAGCCCGACGCTCATTCCTCGGCTGAGGGCTATCCAGCGTAGGTCCCCTCCGAGCAGCCGGTCCCAATACCACACAAGGAAGCTGGTTTCTGTTGGTGCCTTCTTGCTGCTTTGCAGCGAGAGAGGAGTTGCCTTCACTGACCTTTGCCTCCTTTTTCAGTGTCTTGTAATCTGTTTTTCTCAGTGCACTCAAACAGGAGGGACAGTCTGTATGTGTACCATCAGGAAGTGGATATCACAAACGAGTGTCCCGGGGTTTGGAGGACAGGCAAGAAACTGATCAGTTCGGATTGGTGTTGTCACTGAAAGGGAATCCAAATCAGTTGTCTGCTGCTGGCATTTGGGACGTGTCTTTGAGAATACGCTTTTCTCCACTCTAAATCAATATTCAACATTCTGTTCATTGATCATTGTAGCTGACAATCATGTTATCTGAAGTGTGATGGAAGATTTAATCTTGGGGAGAGAGTCATTTCTGAAGGCTTTAGTACTAACTTAAACCATCTGGCACATCTGGCAGTTCTGGTTAACAACACTTGATTCATGCTCACTTACTCCTTAGGTCCATTCTTGGTTTGCTGAGTGAAGGATGGTACACAGGAATGCATCAGCAGAGAAAATAAGACAAAATGTTGTGATTTTGTGTGAATCTGTTGAGTTTCTTTAGTTTGAGTGAAATTGAAAACGCACAGTGCAAGTATGGATGCATTTTGACATTTTCTTTTTGATAACCAAATACAAATAATTCTCTAGAATATGCTTTTCACAAACTAAATCCAAAACCTCTTGCTCCGTGGTTTAACCTGTGCAAGAGGAAGTGCTCACTTGTTTCTTTTGCTGGTTGTCCTGGTGTCTGCAGCAACATGTCGGACATTTCAGCGTAGATAGTACTACCTCACATCGACGCTACAAAAAGTGTCTCCTATAAACGCAGACCGCAGAGGATGTTGATACTGAATGTGTCTGTGCAGCTCTGTAGTCGTTCCAAGTTAGAAACTTCTATGAAATAGGGGCACAGTAAATTCGAACAGAGGTGACTGGGTGTTTGAAAACACCGGTTATTGGTGTACAGTTGTTCAACTGCTTGATCAGATTAAGGGGGAAAAAATAATTTGGGGCTGGGAGGCAGAACAGAAAAGCTCATATGGAACATAGTGCAAAAATTTTTAAATACACTCCAGCTTCCTGAGGATGCTATGATCATTGACAGATGCAAAGATCGGTACGTACATAAAACCATACAGTGGCCAATGACAGTTTTGCTTTTCTCTATTATGGGTCTAAAAGTGATTGTGACCTCTTCCAGTCACACTTTCAGCAGTTGTCCTTAAGCATTTTATATTTTGCAGGCAGTTCAAAATACTCCACTTGATAAAAGAATTTTAGATCTCAAGTAATTGGCTTTTCAGTGTGTTATCCATGGCTGTGACAGCATACTTCCACATAGCTAGGGTAAAGGTGGAAACAGACACCCAAGAGTGCTGCGTTATCAGTAGTTGATTGCTAGTACAGTATACTATCAGCAGGCAGTAATCGGTTTCTTAAAGCTTAGTTAATGCAAGTCTGTGGTTTTAGTCTTTATCTTTCTAGATACAGAGGTCGGCTCTTTTATTCTTGCTTTGGACTTGGTTTCTGCCTGCGGCTCGCTTGCCAGAGGTGATCTGATCGTGGGTCTGGGGAGCTCTGTGGTCGGTCTTTTTCAGGCTCGTACAACTGTCGGCGACTGGCAGGCTGTGCTGGCTGCACGTTCACACGCTGGCGATTTGTGATTGTGATCTAGTGACACTGGATGAAAGCAACCGGACCTGGGGAAGGAGCACAGCCTGCAAACCAGAGGAGTTCGAAGATGTCAAAAAGGGCTTTAGAAAGAAGGGGCGCACCTGGGGACCAAGTTCTGTCCAGACGAAAGAACGGGCGAATTGTGCTGAAAGGTACGGCCTGTGAGTTTGTGTGTCCTGGCCGTGTTTGCGGCGCTCTGGTTTCCTCCCACAGTCCAAAGACACGCTGGTGGGTCCACTGGCCCTGGTGTGAGGATGTGGCTGTGTGTGTGCCTGCCCTGCAATGTGCCGTCTTCATCGAGGGCTGTCCTCTGTCGTAGGAGGACTCTGGGAAGGGACGCGAGACGTTCAGGGACAAACCTTCCAGCTGTCCTTGGTTCTTGAGAACATCTGCGCAGCGATGGGAGAATATAAAATCGATGCCGAGAGTTTCGGAATGTGGTTTGGACGGTGTGACTGTTGCGGTTAGACACTCCCATGTTTTCTGTGCAGAGTAAGACCCCTCTCTGATGGCAGTAATCCCTGGTCCACCAGTCTCATGAAGAACCAGACGTCTGTCCCATTAGCTGCGCTGTTTGCAGAGCAGGGTGAGTAACAATCTGCGTGCGCAGATGTAAAGGAAGCACAAGAAACATCAATGTTATTGTGGTCTGCAAAGCGATCAGTAAAACTGATGTTCCGATTCGTCCATCATTAAAAAATAGGAACAGTTGTGTAGGAGATTGATGGGATCTTTTTCTGACAAGTTTTTCAGAATTATTCTGTGTTGTTTAGCCGACGTCCTTCCCCCCCCCCTGTGTGAATGATCCCACTTTCTTTCCCGGCTCTAGGGATGTGTCCGGATGCACCGGGCTCAGCTGAAGTCTCCGACAGCAATAAACCAAAGCAACTGAAGTTCCCTAACCAGGTCTACATCGATCTACCTCTCTGGAAGGATGATCAGGGCGAGGGCGGGGCGGCGGGTGAGGGCGTGGAGGACACCACGCCCGCCAGCTCGGCCAGCAGCACCCCTCAGGTCACTCCCACCAACAGCCTGAAGAGGGCGGCGCAGCGCCGGAGGACCGACGCGGTGCTGCACAGCTGCGCCTCGCTGCTGGCCTCCGTGGCCCTGGGCCTGGACCTGCGGGAGGTGGGCAGGGCCCCAGCCGGGGAGGAGCCGGAGCTCCGGGAAGAGAAGAAGAAGCGGGAGGGCATCTTCCAGAGAGCCACGCGCTTCCGCCGCAGCACGAGCCCCCCCGGCCGGCCCCGGAAGGACGAGGGCGGCCCCCCGGCCCCGGTCAGCCTGCTGGCCATGTCGGCCATCTCCGAGTGCAGCTCCGCCAAGTGCCTGCTGCTGCTGCCCGACTCCGACGGCCTGGAGGAGGCCCTGCGCCGGGCCGGGACGGACCCGCCGGCCCCGAGCGCGATCGCGCCCCAGAGCAGTAAGTCAGCTTCCCGCCCGCTGCTTCACTAGAGAAACCGGGAACGGGGGCGGGAGCGCCGGGGGGGTTCCATTGAGCCGGGACACGCCACTCTTTCTCCAACGAGGCGCTGGGCGAAAC